TGCTCTTGCCGATCGTTTGCGTCTTGTGTCCTTGATCTAAGAGAGCCTAAAAGTAGACGAGCGGACTCTTCAGTAAACATTACACAACGAGTACATGTCCACTTCAGGCTTTCATGCTCCGTGTGCAGCTGGTAATCTTGCTTTGTTAAGCTCGAACACAGCTGATGATACCAATCCTGGTACCTATCGCACTGGATACCAGAAATCACAACTTTCTGACAAGCCCCATTCCCGCACGTGTTACGGTTGTACTGGCCAGCCATTATACAGTTGATTCCTTCTCGAACAGGAAAGAGTATGCAATACAAAATTCCAAGATTGTCGGTAAAACACTCCACAACAGATAGAATCACACCAATGTAACACACGAAAACGGTAAAAACACTGTGTAAAAAACATCCTGTCGGAGAGGTAAGTTTCTCCGAATAAAAATAGACCTTAGTGAATACTAAGATCCAGTAAGTCTGTGAAATAACTAAGGTTATTTTACGACTCAACGCAAATAAAATCGTAGAAAGTTCAAAAATTCAAACCGCGCGGTAACTCACAACGTCTTAGGTTCAATATAAACAATACACCACGAATTCTTCTTTCGTTAATAACAAAAACATTCCACATAACGAATCCGAATACGGACAGATCGTCCGGCTCCAGTGGTTCTGGGGTTTGAACCAACTAGTTCAGAACGAAGTGGAGACATTTTTGAAGTGGAGGGTAATGTGGCCGCCGTGGGGAGAATGGTCCAACCTGGCGTGGTCAAAAATGGGTTGGGAAGTATCGGTGTGGTTTCGTCCGTAGCCTTTCTATTGAAAGGGGTGACAGTGAAGGATGTTCCGTCGACATAAACTGGCTTCGGGCGGCCGATGGAGATAGTCTCACAGTGACGGTTCTTATTGATGACTATCTGTTACTTGCTCCGCCGGATTACGCGGTAGGTGCCGTTAAATGGAACCTGTAGGGGTCTGCGTACTGCGACGCAACGGACCTAAAATTGGGTGCAAGTCTTCAAGTCTGGATGTATGAAAACTGTTGTTTCTATGGCCGTGTAACCCTGAAGATTATGGAAAAAATCCTCAGGGATTGGATCGCAGAGCACGCACTGAATCAGGACCTAATACGCGTGTAATATTAGGCAGGACGTTTTCTGCACTGAAGCGTGTATGCTTGTCAAACTTGCTGGACTTCATGGAGGAGATCACCCAAGGGCTCGGCTGGGAAAAGCGTGTAGAAGTCTGCTTTTTAGACTTCCAAAAGGCATTCAACTGAGTCAATCACCGACTGCTGATCGAAAACTTAAGATATTCCGTCTGTCTGAACAGATCGTTAGATGTATTACGGGGTACTTACTTGACCGATCCTTCTATGGCAGAGTAGATGGTGGAGTGTCCAATTGTGGAGTACTGGTGTGCCCCAAGGGTCCGTGCTGGCACCGCTGCTATTCCTGAGCCACATAGAAGATCTGACTAAGAGGTTAGTACACCCGTCCTTGCTGTTCGCCGATGAAGTAAAACTTGTCAGTGATCCCTTTACAACTCCATAGAGAACGACCTGAATGATGTCCCGAAATGGACGGAGTGGCTGTTACCTATAAACACTGGGAAGTGCAAACAGCTACTCCAAGGGGAATTAGTTGCCTAAATAAGGGTGACAATTGGCACGGTGCCTACACCGGTGGAAATTGCCAACGAGATCAGAGACCTGAGTATTATCATACTCGATTCCTCCCAGGCAACCTGAAAGTATCAACTAGCCCCAGTAAAGGCTTCGAAGGCGCTGTTGTTGCTGAAAAGAACAGTGGCATCGAGGTCCCTGCAGTATTAATTTCCCTCTACAAGGCCCTGGTGCAACCACACCTAGAATACTACGTGCCGGCGTGGCCCCTGAACCCTATTCGAGACCAAAAGGCTCCAGCAAACGTCCAGAGACGTTTCACTAGGTTTGTCCTGCCCTCAGAACAATGTCGTACTCCAGACGTTTGAGAGAGCAAAACTTGTTCTCTCTATCGCTCAGACGTATGAGAGGTGACCTGAAAGAGGTCTTCAAGTTAATGAAGGGGCTTTCGCAGCCTGGCAGGCAACTCTTCTCCCTCAGTGAAAACAGCCCCGAGACGACACCAGCTGAGGCCAATCAAACCTCGTGAATTAAAAAGAGAAAGGGCCAACTTTTTCTCTCATAGAGTTCCAAACGTGATTATCTTGGTGTCTACACTTGAGCTTTTCTTCTAAGGCTTGATAAAGTGTGGTATGTAATCTTCCCTGAATCAGCCTAAAGAACGATAGTCAGTCCTTGATGGTAGCTTCATCTTTGCTTTTCTTACATCTGCCCTCCGCAATCTTGTTTATTATTAGTCATATCATCATCACCTATTTCAACTAGCTTTCATCCTTACTTTATCTAACCAGCTCCTCACACACACACCGGCACTAGCTTACTTGTCTTCTCTTATCTTGACCTATTTGCGGGTTCTCTACTGTTTGCTGGAGGGGCACTTAGACATTCTGGTTAGCCTGTGACCGATCAGCTGGTGCCGCTCTCATCCACAGCAAATCAGATTGGAGTTCCTGCTCCGCGGCCGTACCCATACACCGCCAAGGTCCAATCAAATCACTGTGAAGAGTCATGAGATGGAATTGGCCCAGCGATCATCAGGTCTATTGCGGATATAACTTCGGAGTCGATTTTCAACCATTTCAGGGCATCATTACCTGAAGAGAGGTTACTGCCTGACTGGGAAACCGATTCTTTAGTAGCTATACACAAGGACGATGAGAAGACAGATGTTAAAAATTATCGACCTGTTAGTTCAACTAGCGTATTAGGCAAGCTACTAGAAAAGATAATTGGAACGCACTAAGTGAAACCACTCTAGCAGAACATGCTCATGACAGAAGCATAACATGGTTTCACTAACCAACATTCATGTTTAACAAACCTGCTGGGCTTCCTGAAGGACGTAACTGCAAAGATGAACGAGGATAAAGCCGTAGAGGCTTGCTACCTGGACTTCAGCAAGACGTTTGATTCAGTGAACTATCGCCTGTTGTTGACCAAATAAGAACCATTCGAAATCCAACGACAGCTGCACAGGTGGATAAGCGCCTTTCTCTCACAACGATCATTCTATGTGGCATTTGGTGAGAAAAGGTCAACACCAGTTCGGCTGATTAGCGGAGATCCACAAAGCCCGATATAAGGACTGCTTCTGTTCCTTCTCTACTAAAACGAATTGCTGAAGACTCTGACCTCATTGTGCTACATCATTGCAGATGACGTAATGGTGGTTGATTCGAATGGGAGAAGGGATTTAGAGCAGGTAGCTAGATGGGTAAAAAAGTAGGACCTAGGCCTTAAGGCAACCAGGAGTCATGTGCTCCCAAGGGCATTTGAATGGAAGTTCACTCCCAAGAGCAGCGATTTGCTATCAAACCCGCTACTCGGGTTAAGGACTTCGGGGTAGTAATATCGAAAAAATTTA